GTCCACCACTGGTCGCCCTATGGCAAACCTCTCGGCTGCCCAAAGCTGAAGCAACATAGGGCAGCCAGCGATGATCGCGCCCGCGTCAGTCTTCGTGCACGCCTCACAGAGGGCACGGTACGTGGCTGCTAGCACGGCAGAACCCCAGCTCCACTGCGGCACGTCCTGTGGCTGAGCATCCGCGATGGACCGTGCGTAGTGGACCAGCCGGAAGTCCACAGCGTGCCCGTGGGTGCTAGTGAACATCACCCACCCGAACAACCACAACAGGTACGCCTCAAGGGAGCGTCGCACCGAGTAATCATCAGCGTCAGGGTGCAGAAGGTCCGCCTACAGTTAAGAATGAAATGTTAGTACAAAACACTCATCCGGTCGCAAATAAGCATGTATGATAATAACAACCTATTTACTTACAGTGAACTGGAGCAACCAAGCCTTGCTAGGCCCGACTGTAGAGTACGGAGGAAGGGTGCTGGTCGGTCCTAGGTGTGGAAGGCGCATCACCTGCTCGAAGCGCGCAGTGATATCCTCCTTCCACCCAACAACACCGTCCACGGGACCAACTGGTGCTCCCGCCAGCGGTAGCCCAAGCAGGTACGACACGTCCTGCAGTGTCGGAGCCATCTCCCCACAGGGAAGGTGGAACGTGTGCCTCTCAGGTCTCCAGCGGTCTACAAGAGCGGCAAGGAGTGACCGGTCTGCATCCCACCGCTTCGCTGGGTCACGGTCGTCCGCCGCCGCCTCAACAAGCCTACACAGTGGTAGAAGGCCTGCCGCACGCAACCTGTATAGAGCAAACTTCAAACATAAGTACAACACAAAGCAAAGTTGAGTTGAAATGTGAACATACGCGTACCAAGGAACGTGACGGGGGTCGACACGCAACCACTCGCGCGACGTGCGTGGACGGAAGGTGCCGAGCTGTGCACCCTCGACTGCTGACAGGAACGAGCGGTGGTTCCTGTCAATAGCACGGTTCAACAGCGCCGGTGTGTCGTACGCCATACCTGCATCAAATAGGTTTATCAGAAACATGTAAATAATTAGTTCAACATAAGTAATAAATGTTCATAAGCGAATTACTAACACATATTAAACAAGAGTACAAAGAAACAAAAGTAATAAATGTTCATAAGCGAATTACTAACACATATTAAACAAGAGTACAAAGAAACAAAAGTGTTTAGTCCGAACACTCATCACGATAACGTTATGATGCAACTCGGAATAGTTCGCAATACTACTAGTACAACAATAGTCGGAGGTACTCATTACAACAACATTGAATTGAAATTACACGATAGAAGTATTTAGTCCGAACACTCATTACATCACAACAGTATTTTATTTCCTAAATCGAAAGCATTGTTACACCATGGAATCGCCTGCTGCGCGACGACGCCTTGGCCTTGCGCGCCTGCTTGTTGTTCCTTCACCAGGTGGTCGCCTACCATCACTTGCCTGTCCAGATGGACTAGCATCTGCGCCGCTTGGAACTTCTGCGTTCTTCGGGCATTTCTTGTAAGTATGGCCGCGCAGATCACACTTGCTGTAGCGTAAAGTCCTCCCACCTGCTTCTGACTCATCCATATCATTTCTGATGCGTCTAGTTTGGCGTCGACCCTTTTTCACCCTTAACTTAGATGGATCTGGAATATAAAAAACTTGGGCACTCAGCGTTGTGTAAGATCCTGAGATCCCGAACCCATATATCTCCTCACTCCATGTATGAAAGATTGCTTCTTTCCTGAAATAATTTGAGACGTACACATTGGGAGATATGCCACAATCACCGGCAGCAGCAAGAACGTGTGAGCAAGGAAGGTGAAGAAGCTTCGGCTTCATACAACTGCAGGTACATCCACCATCCGCCTTCAAGACATATTCCTGCACGGCTTGCTTGCGATAGATACCACGCCTGCTCCTATCAACACACATTATTTCATACCGATGCACTTGTGTGCCTTGAGCAACAACTCTATGTCTCCGTGCCTTTTTGATTTTATCTTCCATGTACTTTGTCACTACGTTGCCAAACACTATGTTGTTATCGGCCATGGACGGACCAATTTTCTTGTATCGATCCCTAAAGTAGGCTTGCGTGCCGTGAAGGATGAATTCAATAATAGCAACCAATGGAAGTACCCGAACTCCTCGCATTACCCAGTTGTACACCTCTGCCAAATTGGTTGTCATTATGCCATACCGAGATCCATCGGTGTCGAACAATAGAGACCACTTCTCCTTAGGCTCATTCTCAATCCACTGAGTGAAATTTCTGATGGACGACCCTGACCTCCTTCTCATTGTTGGTGGGTCATCATGTAATGCACCAAGAGGTATGGGAGGCTCGTCACCTTCAACTTGTGGTCTGCGAGATTGCTCATCTGTTTGCTTCGTTGTCAACTCATCCAACTTGTCCCACAACTTATTAAATTTCTTCTCTTGGTTCTGTGCACAGAGCCTCTTAAAGAGCTCCATAAGATGCTTGTTCTTGAATTGCTTGTAGAAATTTGCACCCATGTGACGCATGCACCACCGACTCCGAACATCAGACCACTTAGCTGGAAGTCCCTTCTCATCCCAACCGTTCTTCAAGTAGTCAATAGCCCGCAACATACCCGCATGACGATCATGTATAAGGCAAACGTTGGGCCTCATTCGCACCACTGCAATGTGCACTCTCTCTAGGAACCAGTACCAGCTTTCAGTGTTCTCACTCTCTACAAATGCAAAAGCCATAGGTAGAACCTGGTTGTTCCCATCACACCCAATTGCTGTCAATATCTGACCTCGGTATTTACCAGTCATAAAAGTTCCATCTATGCATAGAACAGGTCGACAATGCACAAAAGCATTGATACAAGCACCCAATGAGAAAAATGCTCTTTGCAGCACACTCTTTGTTCGATCATCAACCGATGTAAATGTATGTAGGTCATAGTAAGTATTATTATTCCTCTGGGCAATTGTGGCTAACAAACGAGGCAAATTATCATAAGAAGCTTCAAATGTGCCATACCTCATCTCAATGATCTTTTGTTTGGCTCTCCAGGCCTTTGCATAGCTTATGGTGTACTTGAATTTGTTCTCGATGTGCCTAATAATTGATTTTGGTTCAAAGCCAATGTTACAAACAACACTGCTGTACATCTCACTTGCCACAAAAACTGAAGTGATGTTTCGGTGATACTTCTCCACCCCTTGTAAGTAGCACTTGTGCTCGGTGACAATGCTAACTTTCCAATAATCATTCCATTTACCCTTATATGCATGGACACGCCACGGACAATCTTCCTTCATGCACCTCACTTCATACACATAATTTGTTGACTTGACCACCCTAAACTCTCTCTGCAATGAAACTGCCCAATGCTTCACCGCCTCCTTCATCTCATCCTTATGAGCATACCTTGCACCCTCAATTACCTCGTTCTCCTTATACTCCCAGGGTACATGATCACCCTCTGATATAACAAGTCCAGAGAAGTCCTCATTTGACCAATCAGTGGCCATTACATCACCTTCCTCATCGGATGATGCGTCGTCCTCCACTTGCTCATTATCCGAATCTTCCCTCTCCATTTCATCAACAATTATACCGACTCTCTCCCCCTCATCCGCCATGCCCATGGCCTGCTCCTCCCTTGGTTGATTTTCCTCATTTCCCATCGATGGTCCAACAACATCCCCTGCATTGCTAGTACCCTCCACATCTTCGGTTCGCATTGAAACATTTGTATCTTTCTCCTGTACCGACACAAATATAACGAGGGGCCATGACCGTTCAAAAGCCATTTCCACATACCGTCTCCAAGCAGCCGTGCTGTCCATCGGCATTAGTTCCCAAAAATAACCTTCTGTTGCACGACTCACTACAACAGATACTGACATTGTGTAGACTTCTTGGTCTATTCTAAATCCTCTCAACAACCAACTATAAATTGACTGAAATGTTCTCTCCGCAGGCCTATCGATGCCCTTAGATGTCATTACAAAATCTGACAGATCAACACCATCTGGACCAAATCTAATATTTCCTTCACCGTGAACTATCTGAAATGTGACCTTACTTGACATTGTGCCTGATGAAAACATTAACTGCGTTAACCTCACATTTCTGTACTACGCCCTAAGTTACATTCTCTACAATATTGTCCTCTAAATTTCTAAAAGTTCGTTACATTCTCCAGATCAAACTAAACTACATCTTACAATTAACACTACTGTCTATGTCTCAATTCATACTATTATATTCTATGCTCTGGATCTACACATATGTGCTGTGTGCTACAGATGTGCTAAAATATATAGAACTAAAACTAAAACGCAACATATATACTCAAACATAACATATTAGTACAAATGCAAAAGATGTATGGGAGCATACCTGTGATGAAGTGAGCGAACCAGCAGGGCTTCGCCGCTCTGCTTCTGCTGCCCTCCCCTCTCTCTTTCGTTTTTTTTGGATTTTTAGTGAATGTAATGAAATTTCACAGAGGAGGGACTGGGCTTTATAGGGGGGGGGGGGGCCAAAAATCGCCCTCCCCCAGGGCGGCAAGGGGGCTGCCTGCAAAATTCCATGCCCCCTCGCCGCCCATTTGCATGCGGCCCCCCACAGTACAAAATCGCCCTCCCCCAGGGCGGCAAGGGGGCCGCTGCAAAAATTCCATGCCCCCCCTCGCCGCCCATTTGCAGGCGGCCCCCCGCACAGTACAAAATCGCCCTCGCGGAGGGCGGCAAGGGGGCCGCCTGCAAATTTCCTTGACGGCCGTCGCCCGAGAGCGAACGGCCGTCTGCCACGTCCTATTCGCCGCCCTTTGGGAGGGCGATTTTTAATAATCGCCCTCCCAGAGGGCGGTAGGCGACTATTTCCGTCAATTTTCAAAATGGAAAATTATTTTTGTAAAACTTTTAATAAAAAAAATTATAAATAAAAAAAATTCAATGAACTTATTCCTAAAAAGAATTCCACGGCACGGCCCGGTACAGAGCCGTGTCTAACGGCCCTCTTCGTTGGTGGGCCGAGCCGCCCGTTTCGTTCTATCAGACTCTTCTTTATCCAGTACCTTTTAGGGTTTGTCCCGCCGACGCCAATCGCCGCCGCCTGTCGCCGCCGCCGCCGCCGCCTCCATATTCTAGGTATACTCCTCCGTTTCCCCGTTCTATCCCTCCCGGCCTCAGTTTTTCTTTGCTTGCTACGAGGTTTTACATTTGTCCTTTTCACCTTTATTTTTCCGGTTCTTTTGGTCTCGTGGTTACAGCTCTCGGTGATCTCTGATGGAGCCCGAAGGCGGCGTCAGGCTGCCAACCCTAGATCGCGTCAGGCGCGGCGTCAGAAGTAGCTGTGATACCGAGAGCTGGGAATGCTTTCAATGCGGTTCGATAAACCTCCCTGTTGAGAAACTACTGTTTGATCTACCAGCATTCCATTGTCGTGGATGCGAAGCTCCGTTTCTTGGTGAAATGAACTTCTGCTATGACCTCGTCAAGGCAAACAAGCGTTCTCTGATTGGTGGGCTCGACAATATCAAGAATCAATACGATAATCGTGAGTGTCCTCCTCGTATCTTTGATTTTGGCCTGCATAGTTCGTCTTGCTTGGTTTAGGATAAATGGAACACTTCTTTTTTACTGCAATTTTCATTACCGATTTGTTGACTATGTGGCTTGTACTGGCTTCGTGCTTGGTGTAGTTATTGTTGGATTTATGATGTCATAACTAAGGTAGCAACGTGGATGCTATATTGGTTTTTCTTTTCAATTAGTACAAATAACACTATTTTACTATGCTGGGATATTCTGGTTTGATTTCATAGGGAACATCAAATCCTTTACGCTTTCAATAAGTTGAAAACAGTTTTCACAGCCAATCCAATTCATGGTCATGCCTAATTTGTTTGACAGCAAAATGGTTGATTGTCTGCCAACATGATCTAGCACGCTATTGAGCCTCTTCTTTCAAGATAGGCTGCTAAGCTGTGCACCAAATTATTTCGCTTCATAAATTTGATTTGTTTGATAATTGTTAGCATCTGCTGAAACCCATTGCTCTTGCCTTTTGTAGCTGAATGTATCGCCTATTCTATAGCCTCTTGCCTTGAGATAGCAGACAGGATTAAGACGGTTCTTCAGGGAAAAAATCCCGACTCCGTAAAAGAGATAGACCCAACTGCCATTGTTGACATGTTTGATGGTAAGTGCTTGGCCAACTGTTCTGATGGCACATCGGGAATCGGAAAACTTGTTACAATGGCGCTTGCTGTCCAAACTGATGGCATACAATCTGCCGTGAGTTAATTCTGCTGGTTATTTTTCTAGTCCATGTGTTTTGTCTAGTACATTTCCAAGATATTAAATGTTTGTCTATAACTGTAGGATCATTCAAGGCTTTACACTGCTGTAGCAGTGGAAACAATTGATAAGTATGACTTTGAAGGGATATGTGCCACACTTGCTGATGGCATTCCGCTTGTTGGTGCGTTTTACTGCGGCAGCAGATTGGAAAAGCTTGAGTATTGCCAAATTTACAGAGTGCCCAAACTATCCAAATTCCTGGATAGAAATCTGATTCCTACTGGCCATGCTGCTGTTATCATTGGGGCTGGAATGCGCTGCGGGATACAATATTTGTATTTTCTAAATTCGTGGGGTAACTTCTTTTGCCCACGCTATGACAAAGATGGTAATCTTGTGAAAGCTGGAGTTGGAAAGTTGAGGTTTTATGATTTGCTCTGCAATCCGATTATGTTCATAACAGATTCTGCCAAGCGTGGTATGAAAGCTACAACTTTTTTTTACGCTTGTAAATTATTTATATGCACTCTTTTGAACTTCCTGTTAATTTTTGCAGTTGGGTTGAATAGGCAGCTACTGCCTATGGGCACTGGGAAGCTGTCAGATCACAACAAGAGCATGCTGATGGGCCGAAAACAAACTGATGGTAATTAAGCACATTTTTCACCCAAACTACACATGCTCACAAAAATAGGTGGTGTCTAAGATGGGGGGATCAGAACCTGGGTGTGCTGATATACAATTAACCCACAAGATAATTCATGTGCTTCTTTTACCTACTAACCATTCAATCTTTAATAGGCATATGTTCTTATATTTCAACTGAGGTCCTGTTTTTTAACTGCACTATCATATGTTTCCACTTTCCAGTTATACCTGAAGACCTATCTATTGGCGTAACCTCCGAGTTTGTTGGGAATCAACCACAAATTTCTTCAAAAAGAAAAATGGCTAATGCCACTTTGGATGGTGATGGTCAAACTCAAAAGGTTGTAAGCCTGCCTTCCCTTTATGTTAGTAACTCTACTTTGGATATTTAGTGTGCCATTTTATTTTTTATGACTACCAGTTTGGTGTTCATGTGGATGATTGTGTGACTTTCTTTTTTAACTTTTACCATTTGTTTGTTTGGCGTTATTTAGATCATAGACAGTTGTCCAATTGACATTATTATAAAGTGAGTGTGCAGCCAACTTATTTGGATTGCAGTGAACATATTATTTTATTGTCTTGCATATAGTTTTTTTTTCTCTTTTGAGGTTTGATCTATGTGTTTTTACTTCATTTGTATTGTATTCACACTCCCTTGTATAACGGTTATATTTGATGTGCTCCTATTTGAGGTATTGCCAGTGTTTAAAATGTCAAAATTGTTGTGATATGTGAGGATGATACTTTGTTCCTTGCATTTTTTTTGGTACGCTATAAAACTCAAGTTCTACTCTTAAGTACTCCCTCCATGGCTCCATCCCAGTATAGCTATGGAAATAACTGGGATTGAGGTAGATACAGTACTGAACTAATAAATCATATTCAATACTCTAATCACAAAAGGAACTATTTTTTGTGCTCCTTATTTATCCCTATTTACTGTTCTAATTCTGCTCTTCATTATTTTTCACTGTAGAGAAACAAGTGTAGAACTTTCGGCCGAAGTTCTGTCGATCTCAATGAAGCCAACAACAAACGGAATGCAAAGGTTGCATTCTTTATCTTTATTTTGTTCTAGCTATATTCTAGTTCTGTAGCTAAATGTGATTTTCAGTAGCTATGCCATTTTATCAAACTCTACTAATAAATTTCAGAACTTTTATCTACATGGGTTAGGTTAAATATGCATGCATATTATTTTACAACGACGCACTATTGGAAACCCGAAATATTGCTAAACTAAGATGAACCCATGCTTGCTGCAAAAGCTCTAGGATGTGAAGAACAAAATATACGATGATAAAGAATATATTAGAAGTGAATGCTATATGCATTTAGTTGACAAAAGAAATCCACATTGTTAAGTGTAATAGCTTTTGAATTCTCAAATTTTCTGATATATATTATTCTCCTAGAATATATTTTTTTTCTATTTTGTATTACAGTGCAAACCTGAAGCTGCCTTTTTGAGCTATCATTTATAACATGATAGAAGATTCTGTTTAATATAGTAAATTTTCGGATTTGAAATACTGATTGCACAGTCCACATGACAGATAAGTTGATTGAGAAGAAATTAGAATCTCCTCTTTCTTCTTGAAGCAATATAACGGAATGTTTGTAGAATACTTCTGACCTATTGCTTCTTGTAGGAAGATGAGATGTGAGGTCATGGGGATGAAGAACCCTGCAGACATACTTTTGCTTTGTGAAAAAGGGCCTGATGTTTTTTGCTCTGAGAGTTGGTAGGGTTTGTGAGCCACCTCACCAAGCATCAATGATGCATATTTTTCATTATGCTACACTTGGATGTCTCAATTTAATCTACTGAGACTCTTTTTCGTTGATGATCACTGGCTCACTGCTCATGTAAATCCTGGAGAGTATTTATTGTTGAAACGAAGACATGATCTTCTGTGTGTTTGAGCAGAGGAACGAATTGGATCCTCTCTGTGTTTGAGCAGATGAACGAATTGGATCCCATTCGTTTACCAGATAATGAGCTCTAGGTACAACAAGATATTTGGAATATATAGGAGGAATATCATCCCATTCGTTTGCCAGACAAATCTTGAAATATTAGTGACTAGATGGCTATGCAGAAATACGAACTTAGGGTACAACAAGATTGCCAGATAATAAAAGCTACAAGGAAATAACAATAAACTTAATTAGTTGGCTACTCGGCAATTAATCTGGCTGGCAAGTAGGCATTAGCGGCTACCAAACTTCGGGTAATGTTCTTCTGGCCTCTAGTCCTGAATACTTACGGGGAATCAGTATCAGGAGAGCTTGGGCATACTGTCAGAACCTCCGGTCTCCAGTCTTCTATGTCAAGTGTGATTCTTCCTACACATTTTGCAGTAGGAAGATGAACATCCTTGGCCACTACAATAGTTAGAAGTAGAAAAAAAGGCCATATCAGAGTTGAGAGATCACTACTTTCACTACCTTCAGTATCGTCCACCATCATATTCCTATTTGGTTGGTTGTCCTCCCTTGTGGGAGTTGGTGCCCAGTCTTCTGCAGCAAGCAGTGTTGTATTTAGTCGATAGATAATATATGTACATATATGCAACAGCTGGAGAAGTGTACTTCTATTAATGTGAATTCTTAACTTAATATAGTAGCAGCAGACGGTCGTTTTCTCAGAATAACACATGATTTAGCCTAACTATATTATATATGATGTCTCGAAATATATATTTTTTCTTTCAAAAAGGGCAAGCTATTATATAAGAAACGGTCTGTCCTAAATCTGCCATGGAGAAAGTACATATAACATGACAAAAGAAAACAAGAGGGATGTCTGGCTAGGAGTTAGTAATTAACAGGGGGGAGGGGATGGGGGAGGGTAAGATAGCTGATAGTACCTTCATCAGATTCAGATGAAGGAATATCAACACAACATCCCCTTTTCTTCTTCTTTGATGTGCCTGCGGGACCTTTCCTGTTAGATTCCACATTGCTACAACAAACAAGCTACATACTCAACGTGTAAAAAGATGGAAAAAGAGGTTTATCATGGGATAGGGAGCTTGTGACATGCATCCAAGTATACGACGGATCAAATCGAAATTAAGGGTAAAACCAACCATAATAATCAGAAAATAGTACCCGTGCTCGATGCTGAACCACCAATATCTACCTCCTCCTCATCGTTTTTGCGCTTGAGTTTTTCTTGATCTGAACATCCTTTTTTTTAATGCATTAATTAATCACTAGTAAGCTTAATTTTGCCAATATTTAGAAGATGTGCGTGAGAGTGAACGAAATGCTTTCACCTTGGTCTTTTGCTGGAGACACTTGGATCTCCTCCTTGGAAGGATCGTCTTATTGATAGAGCATAAAAAATCATCGCTTGGTAGTCGAATAATGAATATTTAGAAAGGGCAAAATAAGAGCTAGAAATGCCAACCTCCATCGTCCATCGATCGAAGGAAAACGAGCAGGATATCCAAGCTGCGGAACACTCGCCGTGAGGGTAGAACGTGCACATAATCTGTTGGGGGTAGTGAGCTCTTTATACAGAGACCATGCTGCACTTCGGCCCGTACTAGAAGTTGAATTATTGCTGCTCGCTTGTTTGTTGACCTGTTTTTATTCTTTGAATTCAGTTTCTGCTTTATACTATATAACACCCAACAAAAAAATCCAATTGCACACTTATGAAACAGGGACCCATGGTTAGGGAAATCCACATACCTCGATTATTAATTAGAATCATTTTCATAACATTATTATATAATAAAGATGTGTGCTTCCTAAATGGACCTTACTTTCACTAATGAAGAGTTTCTACAGGAGAAATGGTCAGGGAGGTACATAATGCATATGTGTAGCTCTGACATGGGACATATACTTCCTCTGAAGAGAGAGAGAGCAGTTGAGAGGAAGTTGACCACACATCATGTAGTATTTACTCATCTATTTAAATATTGTTTCTTTTCTGTTGTTATCCATGGAATTTTAGTATACATGACCATTTTGGAAATAACACACATGTGATTTTTTTTTAAAATTTCGATACATACCAAGTTATATGATATCATTTTGTAACATCATGTTTTTGGACATCACTCTCCAAAATGATATTTTCGTTTTGTTTCATTTTCGGCGTCAACAAATTGTAGTGTACATTATTTTCTTTGTCGATTAACGAAATTATATTTTGCAATGTAGCATATATATGTAAAAATAAAAATCATATGTTTTTTATTTTAATATATGCCAAATGATGTATCATTTTTACAGTGTCATTTTTGGACATTGGTTATATTGTATTTGCGCGGTGACTGGACATTAATCTTGATATATAATGTCCCAATAAAACCAGATATAGATTAAATTTCGGACAAAAAGATGCTTGGACTAATTAAAAAATCAACCTATTTGATGGCTAATCACATGGAGTAATGTGATTGTTGCTAAGAGATCTATTAAATACGGCATGTTCCTCTCTCTCTATCATTCTCTCTCATGGTCATATTAGTGAAAAGTTGCAAGCTAGTACACGGGTGAGGAATGCATGGCTACAGCATCAAGTTGTAGGAGTTTTGGTAAAAATGATGCCTTCGCTCCACCGTAGTCAAATCCTTGCTAGTAGTAATCAAGAAGTACAAAGATTCTTAGGCCAAGCTCATCGTGGCAGTTCTTTGACCGCTTGGATGCTCCTGGCACTGAACATAAAGGAGGAGAATAATAGATAACAGGCACGGGTTGGGGGATGGTATAGCAGCAGTAGCAACCATGCGCACGGGCTACGGAAAATGGCCAAATAGAAAAATGGCCAATACAAAAGTTGTAGATTTTGATAAGTTATACAACTTTGTTGTTGACAACTTTTCTATTTGAAATCATTTACTATGTGAAAAATTTATTTGAATTTCTTATATTATAAAGTTCAAAATTTATATAGTTTAATCAAACTCGGATGGAGAAATGACCAAAAGAAAATAGGTAGATCTCAATGATTTCTACAACTTTTTTTTGGCAACTTTTTCATATGAGTTCATTTAATATCATAAGGTTTGATTCGAAGTTATCATATTTTTAAATTAATTTTTTAATAACTATTTTCACATACGGTCCACTTAAGGAGCCGCATACAAAAATCTATTTACGCATGAGGCTCCTTAAGTGGTCCGCATGCAAAAATACCACCCCAATTTTTTCATCTCCCTCCACTATCTTTTCCCTCCCACCACTTCAAATTTTTTCGACCTCATCTCCTCTATCCCTCTATTAATTTATTACTCTCCCCTCTCTCTCTCTTTCTCTCCTTTCTCTCCCTCTCCCTTTCTCAGAGTGGCCAGGCGGCGGATGGTGATGGCGTCGGCGGGTGGCGGATCCGGCGGCACCGCCCTCGGGAGGGCCGGATTCGCCGCCATAGGGAGCGGCTACAGCGACAGCGGGCGGCGCGGCTACGGCGGCGGCTCGGCGACCCGCCATCCTCTCAACGCCGTCGACAACGACGACGATGAGGTGACCCTCCCCCCTCCTCAACGCCGCGGCGGCGGGGGCGGCTTGGCCGCCTCGGGTGGCACCGCCGCACCGTGCGGATCCGGTGCTGCCGACGACGGCGGGCAGCAGGGGCGATGGATCCGTTGCCGGCGACGACGCAAGGCGGCTGGGGCGACGGATCCGGTGCCGCCGCCGCCGGGTCCGGTGGGGGTGACGACGGCAGGCGGCAGGGGAGACAGATCCGCCGCCGGCGACGACGCCGGACGGCTAGGGCAACGGATCCGGTGCCGCCGCCGACGGATTCGGCGGGGGCGATGACGATGGGCGGCGGGGGTGACGGATCCGCCGCCGGCGACGTCGTGCGGCGTGGATGCTGCGCTCCTGTGGCGGGCTAGGGTTTAAGATTTTTTGGATTTTTATTTTTTGGGGTTTTTTGGACTTTATTTTTTTTATTTGCTGAATTTATTTTCGCATGTGGCTGGCATAAGCGACCGCATGTGAAAATCTCATTTTCGCATGCGGATGCGCCGGCCGCATGCAAAAAGGGTGGTTTTTACAGGTTGGGCAACTGCATGGAAAGATGCTTCCGAACCGCATGGAAAGACCCTTTCTGTGGTAGTGACACACATTGGACACACATTGAATGAGTGCATGAGTGTCCAACTCCAATGGGAGCTAGCTTCTCCCGCGTGCTTGCTGCCCACCACCGCCGTGCACCTGCCGTTGCCGCCGACACCGCCGCCCACCACCGCCGCCGCTGTCGACGCTGACGCCACCACCGCCGACGTCGACGCTGCCACCGCCGCCCAACGCCGACGCCAACGCCGCCGCCCGCATCTGTTAAGGCTCGGGAGGAGGACGAAGAAGGAGAGAGAACGGGAGGGGGAGGTTGGTAGGGGTAGTTCAGTGGTATTTTCGTGTAAATAGACTAAAATTTTAAAGGGTAGTGGGTCTTTTTTAGTGTGTAAATACACACTAAAAAACCCAGCTCCACCCCTGCAGTACAAATTTATGGAGTAGCTCTGCCAACTCTGCTAAAAAAAATGAAAGATCTGAACTGTTTAGCACAGCTCCGGTTCCAGGTAAGTTAGAGTTGGGAGCTGGAGTTGTGCCAAACGGGGCCTATGCGTGTGCATAGGATAGGTTGCCTATATATATAATAGCTCCATATAATAAGATTAATCTAACTTTTTAGTGGAATCGCATATTCTCACTTGCTAAAAATTGACGAGGAAGGAAACCACGCCAGCGGCTAGCTATCTCAGATTTAGAGTCAGAGATCTAACCATGGTTTGAAATTTTAGTTCGAAAAATTCAAAATTTCAGCCCCCACAGGCAAGCGCAAATATCCCTGAAATTATTGATATTTTTCAAATATTTGTAAATTTAGTCATGTTCAAATTCAGTCAAAACATATTAAAAATTCAAAAATAATTGGCCAAAAAATTACGAAATTTCGGTTCTTTCGGTCCCCACTGGCAAAAACCCATCTTTCGAAATTCAAAACCCTTAGTCTAACTGCTGAAAATCACCAATGGTAGAGAGTACTATAGCTCTATGCCATTATAGTATCAATGGGGAGGATACTTTCCTTATTTTTAATGTGTTTATGGTAGGACGCTACAGCTCCTCACACATTTTATTGTGCGTCTCCACCATTACCTCTCTAACGTCGGAGGATGCAAATCCTCCCCCAGGCGAGGCCAAGCATGTGTACGGCTTGGAAAGTTAACAGTAAAAGCTTTTGTGTGCTACTCTCTCTGTAAAAAAAACGAATCTAAAATTAGATGCAACATATTTTATTACTCCCTCCGTGCTGATAATATTTGTCTTTTTAGACAAGAGTGAGGTCAAACTTTAGAATTTTTGATTATAAATCATTTTTAAAATATTTATCTTTCAAATATCGTAACTACATGCATAGATTAGTCTTAAAATATACTTTAATAAAATCATATATTTGTTAACACTTTTATACATATTATATTAAAAAATAATGGTCAAAGTTGTTTTTTAAATACCGTGCCTTTGTCCAAAACGATAAGTATTATTAACCTGAAGGGAGTGCAATGGGTACGTAGAAAGAGGTAGATTTAGATTTATAGTATTAGATAGAGGTAGGTTTAGATTTATAGAATTAAGGATGTGTGACATCCAGTATAATTCTAAATTGAATTTTTTTTATGGAGGGAATATATTCTCCTGCTAGTGCCACTGTGGCAGTATAGCTTACGTATGGATGCATGTGCGTAAGCCTGGCTGTTCACCTTTTCCTTTCTTTTGAATGCCGAGTACTGTTTCATGGGCTCGCGGCTGGGGGGTGGCTAATGGCGGGTGACCGCTCTGGGCGATCACCCCCATGCCCCATATATACTACTCCCTCCCTTCCTCCTCCCCTTCTTCTCTTCCTAATACAACATAAATTTTAGAAAAACAAAAAATCAAAGTTGGAAAATTTTATGTATAGAAAATACTATATATATATATAAAATATTTGAATTCAAATTCAAATTTGAAACGTGTATGTAAACTTTTGACTTATAAACTTTGAGTCTGTAAACTAATATTTGAATTCAAATTCAAATTTGAATCGGGTATGTAAACTTTTGACTTATAAATTTTGGGTCTTTTATAGGTGTATAAATTTTAGATGTATAGAAATACTATATATAAAAAATATTTGAATTCAAGTTCAAATTTGAATCGGATATAATTCAAGTTTAAATTTGAATAGTATATAATTCAAATTCAAATTTGAATCGGGTATATAAACTTTTGAATTATAAACTTTGGGTCTATAAACTTTAGGTGTATAAACTTAGATGTATAGAAATACTATATATAAAAAAATATTTGAATTCAAATTCAAATTTGAATCAGATATATAAACTTTTGACTTATAACTTTAGGTGTATAAAGTTTAGATGTATAAATTTAAGGTGTACAAACTTTAGGTGTATAAATTTATTAAAATAGGAAAATAATGCGGTGCCAAATGGGGGGGGGGGAGGGGGGACGGCCCTGATCGCCCCGGGCGATCGTTCGTGCAGTAGCATAACCGTCGCGGCTGCGTGAAGACCGTGGCC